TCCATTCTTTCATTCATTCGTTCGTTCGTTCGTTCGTTCGTTCGTTCATTCATTCATTCATTTTTCCATTCATTCATTCATTCATTCATTCATTTTTTTCTTTCTTTCAATCATTTATTCCTCTATTCATCCGTGAGTTGTTCATTTGTTCATTCGTTCATTTTCACTCAATAATTTAATTTGTATAATCTTTTTTTTTATTTTTGAAAAGAATACGAACGAGTGAATAAACGCCCGGAAAAACGAATGAATGAATAAAAGAAGAGACAAATGAATGAATGAAAAAATGAATGAACGAATCTATGACGTCATCAACGTGGAATGTATGACGTCAGGTCGTGACGTTACGCCACCTTGCGACGATTTTGTTCCGTGGAGAAAGAAAGGAAGAAAAAAACGCGGAAAATTAATCTCCTCTTCGAAAGAATGCCTGAAAAAATGAATGAATGAATGAATGAATGAACGAACGAACGAACGAACGAACGAATAAATGAATGAATGATGAAATAAGAAAAACCCGTGAATGTAAGATTGGAAAAACAAATGAATAAAAGAATGAAAAACAAAAAATGGAAGAACTGATAAATTTTTTTTCAGATATTTCCTCCAGAAATTAGATCTCTAACGCTAAGTGCGCCAATGCTGATGATGATGGTGACGGTGATGATGATGATAATGAGAAGGAGGAGACTGATGATGATCATGGCGATGGTGATGATGGTGGTGGTGATGTGAAACAAATAGTTCTACTACTATTACTACTACTAAACTTTTATTTGCTCTATAGAATTAAAAATTAATAATAAGAAGCAGGTTGGCCATGATTGAATTCTTATTTGAATTCATCGAGCATGGTCCACCCAGACTGTAAATACAAACTATGCCTCTTTTTTCAATACCCTAAAGTTTACTATAATAATACATGAATAATTCAAAGTATAGTTGTTAGTATTAACAAGAACGAACTTAACTATGTTATCAAAATTTCATACCACAATATCAAAATTATGTTAACAAAGTTCAGTGGTAGAGACTTTGAAAATAAACTATAATGGAATAGGTTGAATCAGAAATAACTTTTCTTTCAATCCATTTGATGTCTTTTTTTATGAGTAACGACCTGGCAGTTTTTGTAAAAGGGCCAGCCCAGATCTTTGTTTCGGGGGGTGACCTTTTGCATTGCAACCCCCCTCTTCCAGAAGGCCCTGTTAGCCACCCCCATCTTCATTACTTCTGCCACCATGATTGCAGTCGTCATTATCAACACCTTCATCATCACCATCACCATCATCGCCATCATTATCATCATCACCGAGATATTTTCACAATCGAAAGGCTTCATGCATCTGACAAATCATCGTACTGACCGCGTCGTCAACTCGTGGTCCGTTCCTTTAATATCATTATCATCATCATCATCATTATTATCATCATCCACATCATCATCGTCGTCCACAACATCATCTTAATTATCATTATCATCTTTGCCATCACTACCATCATCATCGTCGTCATCTTCATCATCTTCATCATTATCTTCACCGCCGTCATCATCATCATCATCATTACCATAGTAGTCATCATCATCATGGTAATCATCATACTCATCGCCATCCGCCTCATCATCATTATTACAATCATCATCATCAAACTACAAGAACATGAGCAGCAAGACCACAACCACCA